TCTGCAGGAGCGCGCCGCTTTGCACGCATCACAATACTGTCACTGCAGCCAACTCCAAGCGACACGAGTGCGGGAGTTCAGTCCACTTGGCTAGTCCCTGGAGTCTACCGTTTTGGACGCTCAGTTTGGTGACAAGGTAAGTTGTTTGTTTTTTTCAAGGATGAAGCAATTTGAGAACACGGAGTCTTAATTTTGTTGTAGCCTACATTTTATGTATAGACTGTTGAAATAGTTGATCAGGATGTTTGAAGAAGAGTTGAATTCAGCGCTCATGTCCCTCCGTATTTTACACGTTATACGCGTTATACACCACATATATCTTGTTTAGTGCTATTGCAATTATTTTGTTTTTAACTTAAAAACTTCTAATGGTTGATTTAAATTATGCGTAAAAGCAGGTTTAAACACTAACGAATACATTCCAAAATCGTTATTGTAGTCAGTCACGGAGTTTATCTTGACTATTGAGTCTGCTTTACATCCACGCTGACGGGTTTAAATAAGAGGGATCATTTCAGTGACTTATCTGGGAGTGAGCAGAACACAAACCTACTTCATATTCCGACTTTGAGGAGTTTAGAAGTTACTGATGCTGAAGAGATGGAAGCTGTTTGTCCCTTTATCAAGATGAATTAAGTTACAGTGTTGTCTATAGGTCTATATAAAAATGTAATGCTGGATCATGCATCATCCAAGTTTTTGCCGTGTATTGTCACCGTTTGGTGCAAGGGTTTTTCCATTCCTGCTTGTTTTTGAAGTTTCGTTGTAGACTACAAGAACAGAACCACTTAACATTGTGAAATATGTAGAATATTGCAGTTCTTAAAGCACTGAAATGGAATATTTGGAGAAGGACGTTACATTTAACCAATATTTCAACTGAGATAAATATTGAAACATACTGTTGAATGGAGAAAAGGATGTACGTTGGTTTTTGGACCCCCCCCCCCCCCCCCCCCCCCCCAAAAAAAAAAAAAAAAAAACAACAAACAACAAACAAACAAAAAAAACAAAAAAAAAAAAAAACAAGGCATAAACATAACCTACATTTTAAGGACATTGCAGTTTGAAGTAATTCTGTAGAGGGATATTTCCATACTCATTCAGCAGCTCAGCCACAAAAAGATCTATGGCTGTCATCTGCTGGGAGGCAGGCATGCAGCCTTCAAAGGCTGTTAAATTAAAATTGATCCAGTGTATAGGTGATCTCTATGAAAAAGAAACCTTTGAGACAACAAATCATGCATTTAGATTTAGTATGATATTAATATGCTAATGCACTGTTAAGATTACATTCAATGTGTCCTATTTTTATATATGGTCTAGTCAACTGAATATGTTTCAGAGGAGCTTTAAATGTCAAATATATTTTCTGGAGGTGGCAAAAAATATTGACAATTACAGTTTCAATGTTATTTGGCCCTCCCATTAGCAACCCTTTACCTTTATCAACATAAATGCATAAAAGACAATCAGTTGTATTTCATGACCATATAAACACCTAATGACCACCCTTCAGTGATGCAACTCCCACTATTAGAATTAAACAGGCTTTTATCACAAAGATTCCATGTATTGATGTTACATTTAAGTTCCGTGGGTGTTGAGACACTAATCACTTTGAATCCTAGCCTATCTACGCAGCGTAGATAGGCTACGCTTTAGGGACTTGATGACATTTAGCTCAAAGCTCCAAATCCAACAGAGATCGTGCAGGTTGTGCAAATCTCATGACATTCATTAACACAGAGGTGCTCTTTAGATCTGCACCTATAAGTGACTCCCAGCCTTTCTGATGCCACTGGGGACCTATGTGTGCTCAACAGGGGGATTTAGCCCGTCTATAGATGCTAATCCAAAAGGATACCCTGAAGCAATGGAAACATTTAACACAAAGCCCCACTCTGTAAAATGCTTGGGCATTCTAAATATCTCCTTCCAAGCTCAGAATCCAGTTTTGAACCAGATATACCATTATGTATGATACACCAATTGTGGACTAAAGCAGGTTTAAGATCAAATGGATAAAATGGTGAATGCTACTTGAAAGCTGGACCTAAATGCCTGAAGACGCCCCAGATCCCACTGGGGGTACCATTGCCACAGCTTTAGAAACTGAGAGTGTTTTGATGAAGTCCTAGAGGCTTTTTAAGTTTCGAGTGAATCTTCAGTGACCTGTAATCATGATGACCTGTGGTAGAGCTCAGCTGGTCAGTGCCTCACTGTTTGCACATGCACCATTGGGTTTCTAGAGGGTGTTATGATGTATATAGTATGCCATTATGTAGATTCTAACTCCATTACAGAAATATGGAAATGTGATCAACATGGAATTAAACCATGCCAAACCACAGACCATCGTTTAGATACCAATGTCTGATTGTTTGGAAGAAACCTTTCTTAAACTCTATCACAATCACTTACATGTTCATGCATTACATAATCCTTTGATGGTAAAACAAAATACACTTTAAAGGTCCTATATTACATAAAATTGATTCTTGTGAGCTTTTAGGCATGCTGGAATGTTATCGCATGAAAAATATACATGGAGTGTTCTGTTTCATTCGCACATGTCTGAGTAACCCTTTGTCTATGTCTCCAAAGCTCAAAATGCTCTGTTCCACCTTGATGTCATGAAGTGGTAGTTTTCAATTTAACAGCTACCTTTTACCTTTTGTTCAGTAAAGGTGGATAATTCCAGGGCTCAAATTCTACAAATGATTCTAGTGAAAGTGTATGGAGTTTAAAAATACAGTGGAGCACTTTCTGTATTACCACATGACATCACAAGGTGTAATCGAGTGTTTTCAGTTTGAGAGAAGAACACAAATATGCAGGATTTCTGTGTTAAACGTGTGTGAATGAAACAAAACACAACTGTGGGTATGTTTTTGATGACGAAACATAGATCAGAAAATAGCATACTATGGGTCCTTTAAGTTACTGCCACTCAAATTCAGTTTCAGTGATCTTATACACTGGCAGCTCAATAACAAAGGGCAATGTTAATGTTAATCTATCCTGGTAGAAGCCATACTGATATGTATAGAATCTTGTTTTGAGTTTTATGCCTCATCAGTCTGGGATGGCTTTTGCTGAAAAGCAGAACATTAAACCGAATGGTTCGCTCTGACTGGGCGTCACAACAGCAGAGCAAGCAACGAAATCAAACATTACCCATTGGCGTTGCATGCTTGCTCTGGTTTTTTGGGCATATCTTTGGCTTCCACCAAAACTGCAGCGCTGACCTGTGATTGGCCCAATCTCCATCCTACCAAAGGGTAGAGTGATCATTTCAAATAGTGGAAAAGAGGGACACATTAATGAATGTGGTGGGACATGGAGGTACTCGACAGATTTGAGAAATTTAAGTTCATAGATAAAAACTCCAATAACACTTTCAGTTTTTATCAATCATAATTCACAGAGAGATTGGAATAGCAATAGGTGCCAACATTTTACAACCCTAAAAGCATGTACTCCCAAGTCTCGATTTCTTGATATCATAAAAACTGCATTCATTCACTTTGCTATGAAAGAAACATGTTATTCTGCACAGAAAAAGAATGGAGAAGAAACATGGCTCACCTTTTCTGTAGTATACGGGGCACATTTTAACTCTAACTCTGTCTACAGAGACACATGATTGTGTCTAGTCATCATGGCAGCTCCCAAAGTACTCCTCTATTATATTATCACAAGTGCCAGGAGGAAGATGGTGAGTGAGGCTCCTGTATGATACTGTACTGTGGGCAAGTTTGACGCTTTAACTATGAGATATGAGAGTGCGGAAGGGTTAGATCTAAAGCAATAAGAAGACTCTTTTTGAGTGCTGCTGTGTGGACTGTGCGTTGAACCAGGCTTTGAAGAGGGAATCAAAAGCACCGATCCACTGCAGAGTTCTACTGTTGTATTGACTTTATGTAACCTACATCTTTCACCTCATATCACTCTGTTTCTTTGCTGAGATAATAAACAGCCTCATTGCAACAGAGAAACTCTGTGGTTCCTTTCTTGTTAATAGTGAAGAGTGTGTTGTACTAACTGTACTGACCACTACTACTCATTACAAATGTATTATTCTTACTGGTCTAGCTGACACATTATGAAAAAAGGGGGTTGTAGGGTTGTAGGCCTTTGGTTGCTGTGTTGCATCTTCTCAAGTTGAACGGCTCATTTCTCTTGCATACTCAGTTCAGCAAAAGATCTTTGCAGACCACAAACTCTGAGAAGCAGCTAGTGGTTCCCCTGATTGTGAAGAGAATGATTTATTTATATTTATATATAATTTATTGATGAAAATGTGTTAATGTGTTCACTTGTGAGCATGTGGTCTTGTTAGTACAATTTTGGGTTAGGTTCATGGTCAGATTCTAGTTTTGAGAGAGCTCACCCCATCTAGTCGATGACTACAGCTCTGCTGTTTTGAGCCTCACATCAGGAACTATATTTTGTTGATGCATGATTCAGAAAGTCTGTGTGCTGATCTCATTACCTTCTGAACAGCTTCTTTCTCTAGAAAAGTCCAAACACCTTAACCTGATCATGACAGCACATTGTCTTCATTGTGAAGCTTGCTGCTAATTGCAGTTCCGCTAATAAGCCATTTCATTGTACTCCTCACTTGCCTGCTGAGAGCGACAGGCACACAAACGTTCTGTGAAAAGTGAAAAAACCTTGGATTCAAAACTGACTTTTTTCTATCAATTTTAATCCAAAAACAGTCCAAAAACAAAGAATAATACTTTTCAATATTTCCTGAGTAGGCATCTGATTTGGATTTTAAGATGTCACTTAGGGTTTTTTATTAGGGGAAAAAGACAGAACAAACACATTCCATCTTACAGATCAAAGCTAACGACTTCGGTTACTACACTTTCTGAGAGTAGCCAGTTCTGAGAGTCTGAGTGCAAACTGTATATTAGTTCTGAACTTGAGTGTAAAAGTCGTTTGTCATGATTATGCAGAAAAAACAATTGTGACATGATGTAACTGAATCTGAATATGCTAAATAATCATCACGTAGAGTGCACAGCAGTTTATGAGTCAAATTATGATGCAAGTGTAAAACGCTGGCATTACCCTCTATTTAGGCTCCAGTTAACAGGCCCTATCTCCGCACCACAGCTTCAC